CTCAAGTGTTACCTAAGAGTTAGAGAAATGACTGGTTTCATGAGGATTTGCACTTACCAAACCTGGTTTTATGAGGCTGTTTCCATGTACTTTTCAAAATTTATTCACCCAAGTAAAATTACTTTTAGTGTCTTAAAGTATGGGGAAAATTGAACTTACCTCAAATAATAAATATGGAATAAAAATATAATTCAAGCCATTCCATCTTGGTATACGTGCATTCTGACAGTCCCATTCAACAAAAAATGAAAAGGAGATATAAGTTCATTGTGATGATTGTAATTTTGTGCCTTGCTGGGATGATGTGAACCTTGATATGATTTGCTCTTTAACAGGGTAATGCTGCATCATTTTAAGGAGGATGTGATTGGTTTCATTCCAGCCAAAAGCTGGTTCATTTTTCCGGCCAGAGCAAAAGCGAAGGGACTATGACGTCAGCAAACACTTGGAGAGTTCCCTGGAATTGAAATTTTTGTAACTTTTTGAGAATTCTCAGCACCAATATGTGTTCTGACATCATAAGTTTGCGTTCAGGTTTGCTTTAGCACCAAGTATGAACTGGCCTTAAAACTTGGCACTTTTATGTAAAAGCTCCTACCAAACAATGATATACATGTACTGTACAGTGCCTTGTAACACCTTTTTCCCGCTGCAGTAGTATAGTCCTGAGCTACCCTGCCCCAGGTTAAACCTAAAAGAGCGAGGGGGGGAGGAATTCACCCCCTTTTCAACATTTTTCTGGATATTGCTGAAATTCCTTTTTTCCTGATTTTGCCGTAATGCATTTTTTTCAGCCTGTAGGAGTTTTAGAGTAACTCTGCAGTCATTTTGACACCAATTTTGTGAAAATTGGACAATACCATTCTTGCTTAGTTTTGAGATGGGTCAGCCCAAAATGTATACTTTTCCACTGTGGTGCTCAATGCACACAGGCTGGCATACATGTAGCCTTGAAATTCAAATGACCATAACAACAAAACTGTCTCTCTGATTCAGTTTAAAATTCACAGTTGTAATGACAAGGAGTGTTTGTACATGTATGTCAAGTTTCAAAAAAATTGAGCAAGGCACAGCCGAGTTCTGGGGGGCAGAATCCCCCCCCCCCCGAGATGGGTTAAACATAGGGTTAAGTTTGTCTATAGTCCCAGTTTTGTATTTCAAAAAGGTTAGGTCTTTCAAGAACAGAGCATGTGCATGAGCTGAGTATGGATTCACTGATAGGGTAGGCAGTTGCGCATGCATGCTGCTGTTCCCAAATAAGGGGCGTGCGCTACTTGAATACTGAACTGGCTAATTCCTGACTTACAGTGCCTTCAGTTACTTCTTGCTTCATGGTGTTCATTAGCCCAAAGTTTTCATAACCTGGGATCATTATGCAGTGCCAGGAGGTACTGGTATTAAAACACTGACAGTGGATCACATGCAACAGGTTCCCCAAATACATGTACAATGTAGGTTTCCCACCACTGCATAATACAGTCGAACTTTGTTAATAAGAACACTGTTAACACAACATTCCGCTTATAACAAGGAAATGTTTAGGTCCCAATCCTTTGTTCTTCGTCACTTTCATTCCTAACACAAGACTCCTGCCAAGCATAAGGTACTGGGTAGTCTGCAAAGTCCATAGGATGTGTCGTTATTGAGGTTCAACTGTATTAGCCCTCTGGGCTTCGTCCTAAATTCTGAAAAGATGACTCTAATGATACCCAAGGTAATGGCTGATAGGTTTTCTCTTAACAGAGGCTGAAAAATAGTGAAATGAGAGTGTACCAGTAAAGCCAGAGCAACTCTAGGACTGTGAAAGATTTTACCTTGTGAAAAGCGTACAAACTTTCCTTGGTAAAAAATCAGTATTAAAGTAACTTTGCTGTCTTTACCAGGAGTCCCAGCATTGTCTCTGGTTTGGACGGGATTGTCTTGGTCGACGAAGTCTTCTCTGGGGGTGCTTTGGAGATGGTAATCAGTCCTTTGCCCTATCATCTGTTGCTAGGCGACCAGAGATCAACACTAATGAGGTAGGACTGGGATAGTCATCCATATGTTATTCACAGAATATCAGTTTTTGTTTGGAGCATGCAAAGCATTTTCTCTTCTTGACCCCTCCCCTTGAGGATACAATAAAAAAGGTGATTTATTTCCATCATTTCTTATAATTTCTAATTGTGGAGACAACCTGCTAACCCTTTCCCCCGTGAAAAGGACAAAAAATTGATGACCTTATCATGTTAATGTTCATAAATATTTTGAAAGTTTGTTAGTGTCCAGAGCAGGTTAAACAGAAAAATGAAAGGTTCCTATAATCAAGGAAAACATTTAGGATGTATGTGATGAGCACAAACCACAGGGTTGTCATGGCTGGAAAATCCTGGAAGCCTCAGAAAACAAAAATCCTGGAAAGTCATTGAAAATTCTTTTGTCAGAAGAAAAGGCACGGAAATGTCATGAAAATCAAGATTGTGCAAGGGTTATTTTGATTGCCCATTTTTAATGTGATAATGGAATATTGGTCAAGGCTATAAACCTTGTCGGTCTTAGTGGTCAGGGCAATCTTCCAAATCATATTATCAAACAAAGATTCTCTGCAAAATGGCATTAAATTCTTTGATTGTTAAATTGTAGTTTTCATTTGACCATGTGGCATGTAATGTACATGCAAGCATCTTCTTATTCACGATGGGCAGTGAAATGTTTAAGTCGACAAATCTAACTGTTTGAAACCAGTGTTAGAGTTATTCGCTGTGGCTTTAGACAGCTGAACAAATGCAGGAGGCATGTAAACAACTGGCAAACCTCAACTGTGCGTCTGTTTACCTAAAATGCCCACATGTTTGTGCCTCCATGTAGGTTTGGATATTTTGTCATGGTGAACTGGTTGGCAGATTCTCAGCGGGGATGTTCTCTTACGTTGATGCTCTCCCCTTTCCCATTGTTGACAACAAGCCAAGAGAAATATTGATGAGTGCAAGAACCTGTTATTTACGTTTTAAAAGGACTAATCCTAATCTCCGTTGATGGAATGCTTGCCGACAAGTGAATGTTTTGACTGCATTTGCACTCTGCTTGTTATTTCCGTCTGAGCTTTCCACTGCAGCAGTATCCAGTGACTAAAGATGGCCAAAAAATGGCCTAAACCAACAAACCTAGGAAACCGCAAAATTCTTACCCAAAAGTGCACTCACATTAATGATGGCCATATCATGGAAACTTTTTTTAGTACCTGTAGGTTGAAAATGTAGGTGGGGAGATTTTTCAAATTTCTTGCACCTTTTGATTGGTATTGTCATGCCTTTTAGGTGATAGCTCAACATTCATGCATGTACATGGACTGGTAGGCCTATATATACCAATGCAAAGCCCTGGAATGTGTGTTTGGAATCAAGATGGTCATGACTTACATGGAGCATTACAACCATTCTGAAATGTTTGCTTTTTATTTTGTTATTTTTTATTTTTTTTGAAGTAGAATTGTCATAGAGTCTCAGTGAATTATCATACTTCAGAATCAGACCCTTTTTTTAAAGGAAACTCCAAAAGAGGTCTTAGGTGACAAACCTAATGCAATGGAGTATTCAATCATGATCATTACTGAATGAAATGAGTCTTTCTAAAGCATACGTGAAACGTACAATATTTGTTTTATTAAATATAAAAAAATTGTACATTTCACGTATGCTTTAGAAAGAATACGCCATTGCATTAGGTTTGTCCCCTCATGAAATGATTCATTATTGGTATAATATACTGCATGATAAAAACTGCAACACATTGGGCAACTGTCAAAGGCAAGCGATCGACTCCAAGACCTCTTTTGGAGTTTCCTTTTTAAAAAAACAGGACAAAGATTTGTTCAGGCATTTTGCTTGAACTAATCTTTGTGTACAAACTGCATTTTAGTTTCTCAGTTGGGCATAAAATCATCCTGAAAATCATGAACCAAAGTTGTCACATTCCGACTTTGTTACTTGTATGTTCCAAGATACATGTAAGTTCCTGTGTGTCCTGAAAACTGCTCTTATCATTTGGTAACGTGCATGCATTGAATTTGTTTCTTTCTGTTTGAAGCATCAGCATAAATTTATTTTTCTATTGCATCAGCATCTCTTACAAGTTCAGAAATTGTTTTCTCTGTGAGGAAATGGAAAGATGTTTCACACTTATCAGTATGGCCTGCCACGTTGTCTGTTTGTGTTAAGAACTTCAACTATGCCTACAAATACAGTGTTCTATCAACAGTTAATTATTGATAGAACAATTAAGTTTAATGACACTTTATTACGGCTAACTCAGTTCCAATAATATAATACTAAAATATTTTACCTTCCATTCAATTGAATATTCTGTTGTATCAAAGTCCCACAAAAGGAGAGATATAGTGTACCGGTACATGTAGGGCTACATGTTTTTACCATAAAGTTAAAAGAAGGAAGATTAATTTTTGGCCTTAGAGATTCGAATATTCAAATATGTAAGTAATCTTACTGCTTCACACTTGATCGATGGCCCACCAATCTGATGAAATTAATTCAGGTGTTGTATTACATTAGTTATCCCACTTACTTTGAACAGGGTTTCATGAATACCTGGACAGTTTTTCTATTCCTATTGGTCGAAATATGTCATGTGACCGTGTACTTGTATTAACATTTGATAATGCCCAACCAGAAGTGATAATGCCTGTTGCATAAAATCAAGCACTATTACGTAGATATGAGACAGTTTAATGAGTCTGATTGGTCAGGAGTCTGTGTTGCGCAACACATCACGAGTGCACCAAGTTCATTGGAACAGATTCTGTTGGACTCTATTCAAAAAGACTATACCATGAAATGGACAGGGGTGTTCGGGAAAATCAAGGTAAAATTTTAGAATAAAATTTCTGGAATCCATCACATGTTAACTTCTTTTGACTCTCTGAATAAAAAGGTACTGGTATTTATGAATGGGAATAAATGTATGTTGGCTGGTCTTAAACGATGGAGGAACTAACATCTGTGACCAGCTCAAGTGACTGAATGCCCATAATGTCCTTGCCCTGGTCTTCAACTTTTTTTCCCAAATCCTTTTTTTTTCTTTAAGCTGTAAAACATTATGCAAATGGTGCCGGAAGCTAGCAATCCAAACCACACCTTCCCCCAAATTAACCTTTGTAATTGATCTGTAAATAACACAATACAGTGTATTTCAAAATAGCTGGAGCAAAATTTCCACCTTTTTTCTTTGTTACCATGTCTGGGCTAAACTATTCCAATCAGATCTCTACCCATGCCTGAACAACTCCCCTTTGACAACCAATCATTTTAGATGGTATCATTTTGCTGTGGCCGCCTGGGAGGGATAAAAAACAAAGACTTGTCAATCCTTGCATTCCTGAAAACAATACCTCGGTCTGGCCTGCAGTAAACTTTTACTCCTTAGTGCTCTCATGCTGCCAAACAAAAGGCATTGATGTCACTAATGGGACTTATCAATCATGGTAGCATTGTACTCTGGCTTAGCTGAGTATCACATACATATTTTTATCGATGATGTGATGTACTGTATGTGTGATGTTACGAAACAGATTTGCAATTAAGGTAGTGTAGTGGGTGTAGCCAGACTGTGCAGGTTAACCACCAGGTGAGTCATATTCACCTTCAATAATTCAGAAATAGACAAAAAACTTGCAGTTTTCTTGTGTATGAGAGGACTAATGGGATTGTTACTGTTTACTTTGTTGACACCATAACTAAGCTATTTCAATAAGGTAGAATGTTTCTTTATCACGAAATCGAAAATCCGGAGTTTAAAATTCTTGCATCAGTCTGATCACACATGCACATGCTTAATCAATTTTCAAACTACTTTTTGAACCTTTTCTCCCAGATCACTTTGCTTGAGTTGGTATCTTCGTTGCCATCATTTGTGTTGTATCGTTCAGCAATTGTTATGCACTGAATACTTAACAGCACACAGTGGACTTGGTAGCTTTTAAATACCTGTTTGTTTCCTTGAGCAAATGAGTTAGAGGAATGCTAGGCTGAACGATTGCTGTCCTGGGAGCCCAGCATTCTCTGGGGGACTGCAGAACCACAAATAATCCCTCAGCGGCTCTTGTTCAGGAATTTTGTTTTCTTCCCTGGAACCCCAAAAGATTGAGAGAAAATGGGGTTGGTATTGCTTCTCAGGATGTTTGAGTACAACAAAGAGGGAGCTTTAAATTTCATCAATATATTTATGTGACTTCAGAATTCTGAAATAAGTCACTGTTTAACATAAAAAAGAAGTTGTAATTCTTTACCTGCTGTGGATCGCATGCAGACTGTAAAAAAGGTTCATGTGAGAGATTCAGACCTCTCTTTTGTCGTGCCGCAGTTGTGCTTGAACATGGATGTAAAATTCTGCACCCCGTACACTTTGGCTGTCCATAAATGCAAAGCAAAAGCGACGTCCACAATGTTAGATCACACACAGCTATCTAAACGCCAAGTAATAAATACTGGTCCTCTTTAATAGTAAAGGGGATATATGCATTTTTGGCAAATCATGACATCAACTTAAAGGGTGATATTTCTGCAAACCTTAGCTGCCCTTGCTACAGGAATAGTAGGCAATGTAAGAGGCCTATATGGGCTTCTTAGCTTGTATGACCAAGAAAGGTTTTGTTACATACATGTACGTGTGCCCCACATATATGTCACACACCCACATGTATACATAAAATACAGATATTAGGGGGATCAAAAATGTTCTGACTTTCCTAACACAAGAAATTGTCCCCTTAATGCAGGGAGACAGGTTGGTAGAGCCAGGGAAGACATAAAACAAGATGGGGAGACAAGATTAAGTTTACAGCATTATATGGCATTCAGGGATGAGAGCAGCATAGCTAGGGACCGATTAGTACCTACTTTGGGAGGCCCTTGCCTTGCAGTTGGCTGATAACGGCTTATGGTGATGAATAATACAGGGAGGGCCTACCTGGTAGCCATACATGTACATGTCTCCTTGCATTTAGAGCAGAGTGTTCATGAGTAATTTTTATATAAAATTTGCAGACCTGTAGGTTTTTTTTCCTGGACACTAGACACACAGACTTGAAGTTTGGGTCATGAACCACCAGAGCCAAACTTGAGTTTTTTTTATATGTGGTTGCATAGTAGAACTAATGTGCCTTTCCCAAGTTTTGCTCCGATGTTGTCGCAGAACATTAATGAGGAGGGTTGTAATTTCCAGTAGTCAACACACATTACAGACCAAACTGTACCATTATACTACAAACCATCAGCAAGGGGTCTTGAACATGGACAAGTTAGTTGTCCATGTCTCTGCCATTAGTAATGTTATTACAAGTTCCTCCCCAGGGAAGGGCCAAGATACACCCCCTGCTTTGAGCCCCAAGTTGCCCCAACACTGTTTGGCTGTTGTTCTTTTTGCCGATTCTGCTCTTTATTGCAGCAATAACTCAAAATTAGTGTCACTTTGAGGGCTCCCAGCGGAAAGGAAGTGGTCATAAATTAAAACAAAATTGTTGGTTGACGTTCAACATGTACAAGTGTATTGACCATGATTTTTTCCTTCCCAAATTGTTTAAATTCAGTTGTGTCATTGTATGCAAAGTACCTGTGAGCTTTATTGTTTCAGGTTATTTCACAGACTTTGAATTGATACTAGTGCCGTACAATACGATCTTATGATGTTTTTCTGTGGACACATTTTGTTTGGTTTGGTATGATATACATGTACATTATACGTATGTACCCGTACGTGTTCAGCGTAAGTAAAATTTCTCATTGAAGAAGTCTTACCAAATACGTGTATGCCTTACTTAGCATGTTGACTGCCCCACACAATTTCAAAGAGGCGTACCCATTTGTCAAGCACTGTACTCATGCACACTAATAGGAACCTCTGAGGGGTTCATTTGAACATGAGCATTATCCCCCACACTACCAGCAGCATATTTTGTTGTGCTCTTTGGCGATGCCAGTGTATTCAGTTTATGTTATAATTGCCTTTCATTTCCTACAAGTACATGTATACTCTTGGTGGCAGAATTTGGTACACACGTGACGACGAGTATACTCGTAGTCAGCAGTCAATGTGTTATACCCCATGTTTTTACTTGGATTTTTTTCTTTGGGGGGAAGGGATCTATTCATGAACTGATTGGAAAAGGTGGTAATTTCAGAAAGCTAAGATTGGTATCCACCAATCTTTATGCTTCTATTAATGTACATATGGTGCCCAGCTCAGGGTATACACACATGTGTGATTGTGTCTAGGCTTCACCCTCTTCAGGGTACAGACCAGTAAATAAGCTGCCATAGACAACAGTGATAAATATCCCCACTTCAAATCAATCAGGAAAAATACAAGTTTCCTAGGTGTTGAAAACACATATCAAATTAAAACTTACTTCCTCATGTTTCATTTTCCTTTCAATTTTTAGTGGTTAAACTGGTGAGTTTTGAAGATATTTCTCTCCAGAGAAAATCACCCCTCAAAACAGTCATGTGGCCCATCGCCATTTTAAAAATTGATACCTACACTCCATTGCAAAATAGAGCAATTAGGAGGGCCCCGATACTTTCAGAAATACAAGCTGGTAGTCTTGCCCGTGGATTTCATCCACCTTTTTAACAAACCACCCAGTCCACGTGCCACGAAACACTTTGAAAGCAGAGAATTTGACAGCCTACAAATTGGTCCGTGCAGGCAATTTTGGACCTAGGCCTATTTACTGGCCTGCAACCTTTAATCCTGCAAAATCCAGGGTGCCTCCCGATGGATGTTGAAGGAACTGGAAAGGAGGCTTGTCAACAAGTTTTCCCTGTGGTGCCCTCCCTATAAAATGCCCATTGTACTGCTAATACTATTCAGTGAAATTATTTTGTATCCAGTTTCCCAAATCAAATGTTGACATATGTGGCATTAACACACATGTGAGATGCTTTGCTAGGCCCAACTACCCTGTTTTTTTTGTTAACCTCTTGTTTCAGCAACCTGTTTTTACATGTGTTGGTTGGGGGTGCTCTACTATCCCACATCCAGCTGTAGCAATGGATTTTCTGGAAGTGGCATCGAGGGCAAACCGTCCCACAATGTCGGTCAGGAATCCAGACTAAGTGGGCCTTTTTCATCACATCACTTGAGTGTCGCCAAGAATTCTTGTGTAAATAATTGACGTCCTCGAGACCATCACGCGAGGCATCCGGAAATCCGAGCAATCTTATCCGTTTAAGCACTTAATCCGTGCAAGTTGTATTTGTAAGCACCGTCACCAAATACCAAAAATGCTTTTTACAAAAATGTGCTGGCATTCTCAAGTCGGAGGTATAAATTGGATTTTGGAAAACAAACCTTTCAACAAGTAAATGATCAGTAGAAAACAATCTCAAGAGATAAATAGAAAGATCATTCTCGCAAGATCTACTCAGCTTAAAGAGCTGAAGCAGGAATGTTGAATGCATTAGAGGTTCAAAACTTGCCTCCTCAAAAACAAAGCCCAAACCTCCAATAATCTTCAGCAAACAATGCCATTCTTTGAGGTCCTTGAAGTTGATAACCTGGCTGAAGTACCAGTATGAAGGAGAAAAAAGCCTTCCAGCATGCTTTAAAAATCACTTTTACCTCTTGTTTTTTTACAGTGCCTTTTCCATTGAAGGGTGTACGAGGGCCAAGTTTTTCTGTGATAAAAATCTGATTTCAGATAAAATGAAATTCCCATTGAGCATTAGGTATTGGGTTATATTGAGCTGCCGTACTACATGTAGTTTTCCAACAGTTTCTCCATTTTCAACATTTTACTTAGTAGGCTTCATCCATTCTTGTTTACAGCTGTTAAAGTTGCCATCTAATAATTTTCAGTTTTTACAATGAGCTGAAGCAGATGACATAATGAAACAACTGAATTCATTTTCATTCTGTGTTTGAATTACCCGGTAGGTATCAGTCTGAAGACATAAGCAGTTGTCCAAAAGGTGGCCATGAAATTGTCTTCCATAGTGCTCATTCCATCAAGAAGAATATCCACGGATTGCACCTGCATAAAATATGACATACCAACGGCATGTTAATCTCCAATTTGATGCGTGCATAATACACTTACAGAGTTTTCGAGCTGACCAATATACATTCATAAATTTTATGTGCAGTAAAATAATGAGCGTCCAGCTAGCATGCCTTGAATAACTTCCTAGATTTGGCATTCTTTGCCTTTTCCACTTGTCCCTTTGAGGTGCTGCACTTTCTACCTTTCCCCTTCCATTGAACCTGACCCTCTCCTTTGAAGGGCACACTCTTTTTGAGAAGTCCCAGGTATCCCTAGCTAATATGGTAGGGGGTAGGAGGGGAGTACATGTGTCACTGCCTGCTTGCTGGACTTTCCCCTCTCTTGTATAGGCACCTAACTTCATACCTTGCTCACAGTGATTGATCACTTCTTCAAAGTGGTTCAAACACCTGGGGATGATTTACTGCTGTGATTCTTCAAGACTTCAACCTTCCTTGTATCTACTGATGAAAACCTTGACCAATAAATTGTGCAAGTGCTATTTATTCTATTAAAATAGGGAAAGGCGGGCATGGAGTATAGGATGATTGTTATATATGTACTGCAGGGAAGGCAAGAGATGGGAAGGTTGGTCGGAGACCAGTTAATTGACTGAGCTTTTTTAGTTTGCAGAAATCACTGCTTGTATGGCGTCTTTAATCATGCAGTTAATAGGCTTATCTTGCCCATTTCAATGTACATGTATAGTTTGATTAATTGCATTGGCCAATTGTTTTCCATTCACTAATTTAAATGTGACATTTAACCGACAATAATGAAGAAAAGAACAGTTTGTCTTGAGATAGTCAAAAGGAAACAGACCATTCCGCCACCCCCTGAAAAAAAAATTGTGCATGACGAAGCATCTTACAATGCATGTCATCCAAATGCACCTTAAAGTACTGGTAAGCCAGCTGTCTTAATGTTTATACCTTTTTTTGGGGGGGGGGTTATTCTTGGAATGTTAGAAATTTTTTGGTTCAAACCAATTTTGGTTATTCCCTTGTATCTTCTGAAAGGAAGACATATATTTTCACACAGTGGCTTTTCATTAATCAAATACAAAAATTTAACAAGTCATCTATCAATTCATTTAGTAATTAGTCAACAAAGCCTGTGTACATGTACTGGTACATGTACATGTAAATAAACAGTTTAGCCTTGTGGCCATTTTATGAAAAAATAGTTAAGATTATATAAGTATGTTCCTTCCTTTTTCTTTGCATGGTAATCTATTAGAGATGGTCAGAGGTACCCGCAGATGGAATCTTCTGTCTAGATGTTAAACAGTGGTCTCAACATTCAGGGCTGCCTATCCAGGTGATGCTGTTTCCATGGCAACAAGATGCAGTTTCCTCATCAGGGAGTGTTTTTAGTCCTACCGTTTCAGATGAACTCAAAGAAGCTGTCTCCAATGGAGACCTCCTATCACATCTAGAGCCACATAATAGCAATTTTTTGGGCCAAAGTTTGAATCCTGATCTCAGCTTTGACATCATGACGGAAGGTGTAAAGAGTCCAATAGCTCCAATGAATATGTCAGTTCCAACTAAGACTGAGGAAGAGCTCTTGTCCTTGTGGGGAGAACAAGTTAAGTTACAGCTTCTCAAAAATTGTCCAAGGGAGATTCTATTAAAGGGGAGTGCATGTTCCATGGAAATGGATGACCTGCACCATTTTGAAGGAATAAGAATATTTGATGTAAGCAAAAGTGTCTTACCTGGAGGGAGTATATCAGAATTGTTACCTCACAAAATGGAGCATGAGTTGGCCAGAAATTCTGACAAGTCAGACAGCCAGTTGGGAATCGATTCAAACCACAGAATCGCACAACCCCCATCCCGGGACCAAATTCAAGAAAATTTGCCTTCAGCCATGACAAAGCCTTCTGCAGTTACAGACTGTGCTCGTCAAGATGTGATCGGAGAAGAAGATGCCTTGCCAAGACAGGAATTAAAGCTTGGAAGGGAGCCTAGTGAAAGGATCAGGGATTGCTTAGCATCAATCAGTGTGTTTGAGTGTGAGATGATGAAGGCTGTCACTGGATTGATTAAAATCCTACAGGAGTCTGTGAAAAGGAGGGTCTTCAATCTTCCTCGTCCCCGTAGAAATGACAATCTCCAAGATCCACATTTGTCACCGTCCTCTCACGACAGCATCTTCAATTGGCACTTAGATGTGCATCCTGTTTCAGTGACAAGACAGGGGTGTTCCCCTATCCACAGCGAGTCAGATTCAGAGTTTAAAGTGAAACGCAGTGACAGTCAAGATGCAGAGCGCCCCCACTGGCAGTGCCACAGTAGGGTAGCCATTTTATTCTCTGGAGGGATTGACTCCATGGTGATAGCAGCCTTTGCTGACAGGTAATGAAGTTTTTGAGCCACTTTCCAGAAAGGTGGCAAGGGATTCCAGTCACAAGCAGATGCTGGTTACCTTGTCTAAAGTTCACAAGCTCCCTCAAGCAATGTTTACAATACATGCATGATGGCAAAATCCCCAGCGTGAGCTGCATCATCTGACGAGCTTTTGCACTTCTTATGGTGTATGTGGAGCCTAAAATAGATGTGAACGTAGCCTGCATTCCCACGACATGTTCTCTGTTTGCCCTATAATAGTGTGTCACTGAAAATCCTCAGATCCCCTCCAGTCGGTTTCCCTTCTGAGTGAGCAGAAATGTAGAATTTTCTTACTTCCAGCAAAGTACAGTATACACAGTGAGTTTATGTTGAGCCACTTTGGACAGTGAATTGAAATGGAGGCAAATAGAGATTTAATTTACTTTCCGTCTGCCACAAATTTCTTCCTGAAGATACACGTAGATCCGTAAATAAGCATGTACATTTTTATATGAAAGCTCTTTTCAGAGATCAGTATTAATCGTGTCCCTCAATCGTTTCCAGGTGCATACCTAAGGAGGAATCTGTTGACTTAATCAATGTGGCTTTCCAGCAGCTACCAAAAACATCAGGCAAAACTTCAGCAGACAGGGAGAACCAAGAAGAAAGGTTAGATTCGCATAAGTCTAAAAAGCTTCCTTTTAAGCTTTTTTCTCACTGGTTTTGTGATACAGAACTAGTCAAAATCATCAGACTATCTGGCAGAGATGAATGGAAAATCGTTTCAAAAATTGTTAATTTTAGCCCATACATTTGCAAATGCTTGGTACATCAGTACTATGAAACTATTTCCTTTTGTTTGCTGGCATTGTGTTTACCACCACATTTCAAACATCCAATACATGTACATGTAGGTGTGAACAGAGATTGAAAGGAAACAGTATTTGGGAATAATTGTCTACTTGAACTTGTCATGATTATTCTTTCTAGGAAACAGAGCACTTGAATGCAAAATATAGCTGTATATGCAACTTGGGAATGAAGGAAAAGTTGAAATGCCCAATACTTTGAAGATTTAGGGGATTGTTTATTATACAACTATGGTGTTACTATTGTAAAAGAATTTAACATGGAAAGGACACGGGTACTAAAACATTAATGTTCTTTGCATTGGTTCATTACCGGTAGCTTGCAGTCAACTTGAACAAGTCCCCATAGGAAGCTTGATAGATATGTAGTACTAGTACATGTTTTAAAATTGTCATCAAGTCAGATTTTGGGTTGAACAAAAGAAGTTTGACAGAAGAGATTTTTGATCCTCAACTTGTAACAAGCTGTTCCATCTAAGTGTTGCCATACGGTCTGCAGGAAGGAGGGTAAACTACATCTTGAGTCTTTTTTTTTTTTGAGTTATTTTTTAAAGTACTGGTAGGAATAAGGCATTTGATGGCAATTGACCAATTGGCTGTGATTTAGTGCCTAGAATGGTCTTTCGTATACTTTAGTTTATATTTAATATGTACATATAATTGTATATTCATCACATTTGGCTCATTTGACCAATCCCATTCATTCAGCTAAACCAGCGACTCATCTGACTAATCCATTTGACTAATTCCATTTCTCATTTACATGTACTTACACATTTACATGCAGACTCCTAATTAAGGACAAAGTTGCAACTTTAAAATCCCTCACCAAACAAGAGCATGTAATTCAACATCTCTGAACCCCATTTCCCATGTTTGTTTTAAAGTTTTCAGGAAAGCATTCCATCAATTTCGAAAATGCACTCACAAACAAATGCATGCACGTAAGTGGAACACTGCATGTGCGTCAAGATGTGACATTACAACATATATCACACCCTATTTCCCAGGAAAATCTCTGCAAGAGCACCCACCCCCTCACTTTTTTTTTCTCCTTATCTCTTTCTTGATGGTCACGCAAAGTACCTTCGGAGAACATGCAATGCAAAGAATGTATGTGTGGGATCTCATATTTCGACACGTGCGTACTGATGATACTGTCAAGCCGGTTCCCGGTGCGGTAGTCCGTCAGACAATGCCAAAACCGGATACCGGTACTTATAGCGTGTGTCTTGGGTGCTGAGACAGCCTGGTATTAATGTGCTGAATGTTTTCAGGTTATGACCTGGTGGTTCATATGCTGGAAGTGATGGGGTCATAGACAGTATGAGAGACAAGTGGGAAAAGGGGGAGGCTTGGAAAACAGCTGCTGAACAATGGGGAATATGATTAATGAGGATTTCTCTTTCCATCTGGCCCATTATTGGCTTTCAAGTTGAAGGGGTAGGCTCAATTTAAATCTCACTCGGCTGGTGCCTGGCAAACTACTTACAGTGTGTATTTTTATGCTCTCTCCAGATTTTGTTGCATTAGCATCCTTCAATCTCAAAGAGCTTGTTTTTCAATTTTATGTACATGTGTCTCCTTTCAAACTATGCAAGAGGATCAGACTTCCTTAAAGCTTAGTATCTGTAAAGGTTTAGTGAAAACGTTTAGTACGGAATAAGTTGTTTGATGCCAAGATGCATTCTAGCATATGACATTTTGAGAGATTGTTAAGTCCAGATTGCCATTGTGCCCAGACATAATTAAAACTACTCACTGCAAATAATACTTCGTGAATCTCAGCCCCACCCTCCTATCTGTGAAGAATACTTGTCACATGAAAATGAAAGCTTTTAACATAAATTTATTGTTGCCCTGTCTCTTGTGGAACAATTTCAGAATCAGAGTCTTATTGTGCTGTGATCATGTGATGTTTACTTCATTCCTTCCTGTCACATGATGAGATCATGTTTGCAACCATACAGAAAACATGCTCACATCAGGTTAAGAAATATAAAATTCAGTGCCGACATGGGAAGACAGTTCCAAACCATGGTCTAGCCTCGCATTCAGAATTACCTGAAGCTTGTTAAAATAAAGCTTCAAACTAAAGTGGCCTCAAGTGCCTTATTGTCTGTATTTGAATATGAATCAACCACTCCATCTGGGAATGTTTCTGGAATGTACTGTCCTTTGGATTTCCGTTGTTTGAAAGATTTCAAACATTGATGTTATCCAGGTTGGCAATGATGTTATCCAGATTGCCATTTTGTCAATTAAGTCCTGAATATTTCTGCAAGGAATGATTGATTGAGAACTTATTAGCTGTTGGGTATCAACAAGCAAACCAGGCAGACAGAAAGTTAAAAAAACAGTATTGGTAGCCTGGGACAATGGCCTGGTTTTCATCACTTTTACAGTCGGCTGATGAAAGAATATGCCATTGCTTAGAAATGTTAAAGCTGAAGGAATGTTGAAACCATTTTGAAAGCCATTGTTATTCATGTTTTCCTTTGTACTGACCTGTCAGTGATGGAGTGTCTGTAATGTGTCAGTGGGTGTCAACTCTTGACTTGTCACACTTCTGTGAGGAATCTGTGAGCTTTCAAGTTGCCCTTTGCTTATTTGGATGGACCAGCAAGAAGTTGTTATGCTTTCAAAGCACCAGAGAATGGATACCTTATGGTTGAAAATGTGATAAACAAGTCCTTAAAGGAGGTCTCAACTCAAAGACTACCCACAGTAATGACATCTTCTTTACAAAATGTTCTTTTCTGGAATAAAGAGGAAGATGTAGCTTATAAATTGCGATTATTTAGTGTAACTCTTCTCAATCTTTTTGTGCTGTCAGCAAACTGTGTAGATGTTAAACATAGTACAAGTTACATCCTACAAAATACAAATATTATAATGGTGGTCCACAGATATTTCCTCGTGAACACCCAGTCCTTACTATTCTCATTTTTCTATTAATATAACAGTAGGTGTTAACGTAATGTTGTTCAGTTTGTAGAAACTTTGGGAATTTCACACACGAGAACAGTGGGTGCAGCTTCAAGCTCATACATGTAAGGTGTCTCTCTTATTTAGTGCAGGATTCTGTGCTTAGAGGTTGGTTGAATCCTACCATAATTGCATGCTGATATGATTAAATTCCCAGACAAAGCAATCAATTTGGATCAAGTCTGTTTCATTAAGTTCAGGCTTACTTGCCATTTATCCCGATTTTTTGGGGGGGGGATGGATGTGCCAATTTGAGAGAATTCAGTTACCATTTTTATTGTTAGGCTATTATGAATTTGCATTTTATGAGTAGATGTATGATGTCATCTGAGGTAGAGCCCTTATAGTGTTACAGCTGTTTTTGCACTAAAATTTGCCAGAATTTGGGATATTCTGCCGTCATTTTCTTCTTTCATTTGTGATTTGTTGCTTCAGTTCAGCTTCACAGGCCAGTGAGTAAAGTTTCTCTCAAGTCTTTTTGATCAGCAAATTTTGGGTTCACAGTTTGAATAGAAAGAAACCCAGAAAAGTACCTTCCTGCTGATGGTATCATGAACACTGCTTCAGCACCCTTATTTATCAGGAAAAAATGATGTTAATTATAAAAACAAATGTTCTTAATTATATTACATTCAAGAGGAAAGGAATGTTGCACAAAACATGTTCCCAGGTAAGAAGTATGCCATAAACCTTTTAAAATTGTACACAGACCACGTAAGGTGTCACTGGTCAGGACACTATTGTGGAGTTCTTATTCAGTCTTACCCCTGATGGGCAAGCACCAAACATTGCCAAGTGACCCAGTGGTCCATTTTGAAGGTGACCTAAAAGGAAATGAATCTTAAAGTCATATTTCCATCAAGCAAAGTAGCGTGGATCTCAGTTGGATGCTACAGGTGATGAAGCATCTGCAAGCCCATTAATAACCACCTAATCCCCAGGGGTGTGGGTGTGCATTTACTGGTATTCTCTCTGTTACTGACCAAATGTTGAAGTCCTGTGACCTTTAGGTGCAAATTGATAACTCACTGAGTCACTTTGAAGAGAGCTGTATCACAGTTGTTGTAATGTTGACAAGAAATAATGTTGAAAAAATAACTTCAATCTTATTTAAAAAATATTGAGTGTCGCTGTGGGTTAGTAAATGTGCGAAGGTGATGAAAAATTGTAAATTACCAGCATCATGCTGTTGGCAAATCTCCATTTCTGGAATTGTCCAAGGCCTATTTGACATTTTGGGGTGTTCACACTGCTATCTTGTTGTCCATCATCTCCATGCTTGCTTCCAGTTTGTTTGAAATGCAGATACAATCTGTAGTATTGGAGCTGGAGTGTTCCTTTAAAATTCCCCCCTTCCCAGCGGCTGCCAATCAGACAAATCCTGATCATTAGTGACAGGTGTCCAACTGATCCTTTGGAGTTGTGCATTTCCCAGGGACAGGGCAAGGTGTTTGACATCCAGGTGCCAGGAATTAACCCTCTGCTGCACCTCATCTCACCCCCTCCCCTCCCCAGCTCCTGTCTGATTCATCATTCTTGCTGGGATTCCCAATTAGGGTAATGCCTTGTATGCCTGGAAGCATGTGGAGCGCTTTTCTAAGTAATAGACCATGAAAAGATGCTTCATATCATAAAGCGCATGTGGAAATAAAAATCATTAAGTAATGTCTAAATGTCCAAATAATGTGAACTGCTGTGATGAATATACAGCATGTTGTTTTGCATATATTTGTGTAGGTTTGCTTCTATCTTTTAGAATGCATATTCATTTTTGTCAGTGTGGTTGTCTAAGAAATTACTCTTTTATACCATGTTCCATGGGTAATATACTTGGCAGTGTAAATGTATTGATATGGAGATGGCGTCTGAATGAAGATCTGATATGATTGCACATGACCAAATGGACAGCCAATGTCTTCACAGCTGCTGAAATGATGCCGGTACTACATGTACCAGTAGTTGCCATGGGATTTGCAGATTGTACTTGTCTTTTTCTTTTGATTTGCCCACGCTTAATTTTAAAAATACGCTTGGAACTCAGGGCCCATTTGTGTGAGTGGCTTAAATTTGTTGCTCTCATATCAGAGGTCATCAAGACAATGCTGTGCAGGTTGTTTGAGAGATAAAGGCAGTGCACTGTCTGCTTGTGAAATCACATTAATTATCCATCATATTTTAGTCAGTGCACCATACTGATTGGTCAAAAGTTGATCATTGACTATGCGCACTGTACCTGATGCTCATTAAAAATTAGTAAAAACAGGAGATTATTTCAAACTGACCACAGTTTCTTTATACGCAAGCGTAAAGGGACAATGTCACAGTGTTGTTTTATTAACATGCTTGTAATTGCACCTTTCAGTTTCAATTGACCTTATTTTCAATTTTTCTTGTTTAAATGTTTTTAAGAGCATATTTTGGGTTCAAAAACTGAACAGTGTCTTCCTGGATTTACATCACATACACGGCACCCTCACCTGTCTGGAAAACCTTGTCAATTTTAAATGATTTCAAACAGGTTTCATACGCAGAAGAGTTTAAACATTCCAAGGAAGTTCATTGCATTGATCGTTTGCCATTGAACAGTGATGGACATAACAAGTTTGCTAGGATGATTTATAGCGGAAAGCAACTTGTTTGGGGAGACCTCTTTCTTTCACCTTTCCTAATACCCAACTTGAGATCTTGTCATAACTGAAGTATCCCCAGCTGTTGATGCTGCACTTTGATGCATGGGCTTTTCATGACTCATGAGATGCAGTGAGGCCTGACCAGGTGTTATCACAAGGGAGTAAGGAGGAAGATGAAGCCTCTTTAATTCTGTCAAGGTCGGGTGAAGTCATACTTATTTAATAGCAGTCATTTTAAAGGTTCAGCTAAATACATGTTGAATGGGGAAAGAAAACATTTACGCACATGTGTGACTTAATGTCAAACCTGAGCAGTTTTGTGAGTCAGTCACGGAATTATGCATAGAGAAAGGGAAATGTGTGATGCATGTACTTGTATTTGTTGAATTGGCTTTCTGGTTGAGTGTTTGTCTGGTTGAGTGTTTGACCAGGTGTGTTTTTGCCTCCTCCTTTTTTGCCTGACCACACCCACCTCTTTGCCTGACTTCATGTATTTCTTCATGCTTTCACGGCTTGGTTATACTTTTGCCTGAATTGTGTGGACTTCATGGGAAAATAATGACAATATTGTTTTAACTTGTTGCAAGTCAATTTGTTCTTCATTAGGTCATTGCCTTAGGAGAGAAGTGGTGGATCCAGAACTTTTTTTTATTGGGGGTTCAGGAAATTTTGTTTATACAAAGGACAGGTAACAACATGTAGTTGTTGACATTGTTGAAATCATTTAATTTGCTTTGTTTTTCTCATTTAGGGTTTTTCCAACCTCTAGATACATCCCCTAAACAAAAGAAAGCAAAAATTGGCAGTGAGTAGGGAGAGGTTGATCTCTGATTCTCCCCATCCCCGCCTTAAGAGTGTAGAAGAGCAGGGAGAGTAAACAAAATCTACTTCTTGAGCTTAAAATAGTCACTGTTTCTTCTTTTTCCTGATATCGCTTGGCTCCTGACGACGGACAGAGCATACTGTCCAAAACGTTGAGTTCCTCACGGTTCTTTTCAGAACCATACTGACTCACAAAAGAGATTGTATCCTTACATGGTGCTACCGCAAGCCTTCCACCTTAAAATACAAAAACTTAAATCATGACAGTCCCTTTATTCCGCAAAGACACCCACTCATTTTGAAAAGGAAATCTTGCCAGTTTGTCTGTCTATGCTTTTGGGAGTGATATTCTTGCAGTGCTGTGACCTGTGCTGCCAAGCATTGTTAGGTTGTTCTCCAGAGATGATTGAGTAATCTTGTCAGGTTGAGTGATAGTACGGTGCTTTCTGTTACTTAGTTATTGCTGTTTTGCTCAGTCATGTGGCACCCACACAACTGTTGCAATGTGTTCGGTTGAAAGTGCATCCTGACTTTCTGATTTAGCATCCAAAATTGTCAAGATGTATTTTGTGGAAAGAATCTCAATTTTTTGGGGGGGAGGGGTATAAAATTGAAAGTAAAGACAAGTGAAATAGCTTCCCTTCAACATGGTTAACTGACTGAGTTGTAGGTATTTATAGATTTTAATGTTTTTATAGACATGCAGCCAAATAGCAAGCTTCTAAGAGGTGTCATTTGCATGTTATTTTTGAGAGTAAAGACCCATGAAGGCAGTGCATGTAATTGATCTTCTTGGAGTGTGTGTTCTGTGAACCACTTGAACATCTGACAGAGGGCGCTCTTCGCTCCTTACAGATGATAGAGTAAAACCAGTGAGGGGAGCATGCACTTTATTGTTTAATAAAAGTAACACCCTGTGTAACGTGCAAAATATAGAAATGATGCCTTGAATCAGGATGAATACTTACCGATACACGATACATGTACTACCCACCAGGGTTATTGACAATACTATCAAATTAAGTTTCAGTTGGGCAATTTGTCAGTTTTGGACAGAAAGTTCCCTCCAAATATGAACTCTCCTAAAAGTAATCCTAGGGTCCATAAGATATTAAGCCACCACTTCATTGGAAAGCAGAATGCCAAGGACCCAATTTGTCCAAATTTCATGGAAAAAAAAAGCTTGCTGTTCATAGTTTCCCTCTTCTTTTAAGTACATAAGTTCACAGGCTACAAAACAGCAGAGAATTTCAGTTCATAGAAACTGTGTTTAGACCAACATAGGCTATTTTTTTTTTTCAAACTGCAACCTAAGACTCAAAATTTTCTGTGATGGAAGGCATTACTGCCCTCTTGTGGCAGTTTAAATCACATAAATTTTGTAATTGTCATAAACTGTATGAACTAAAATCCTCAAGTATTCTTTGAAGAATGAATTACCGGATTTCTTGTCTTCATTCTTCTAAACCTCTAAGAGGATCTACATGTACCCACGGGGTTACTGTCAGTGCTGCTTTTAAGAACTGACCATCCCTGAATTATTACTTCCTTGTCTTTTTTAAAATAATTGTGTTTGTGGAGCCTGAAATTGTGACTATTCTGCAAGCCTGGTTCGCCACACGCTCGCGAAGTCCATATAGGGAGATTGTCTTGGACAATATACCATTAAATGGATGGGGGCGTTCAGGAAAATGAAAGTAAAATTCTTAAACAAAATCTTTTGAAATCCATCACAGTTTGTCCATCATTGACTTCTTTTGACTCTCCGACTAAAAAGGTAGTTATGAATAGGAGGAATAAATATGTGC